ACTTGACCAAGAATAGACCATAGTTATTTTGTTTGTTTTTTGGAAAGCTTCATACCAGCTCAAAACAATGGAGAAATATCTCATTTATAAAAGAGAAAAAAAAGTGTTAAAAATGAATCATCAATAGACCAAGAACCGACCACTATTGACCAAGAATAGATCATGATGATTTTGTTGGTTTTTTTAGAAAGCTTCACACGAGTCCAAAACAATGAAGAAATATCCCATTTATAAAAGAGAAAAAAAAACGTGTTAAAAAATGAAAAAAGCCATCAATAGACCAAGAACTGACCACTCTTGACCAAGATTAGACCATGATGATTTTTTGATTTTTTGGAAAGCTTCATACCAGTCCAAAATAATGGAGAAATATCTCATTTATAAAAGAGAAAAAACGAGTTAAAAAATGAAAAAAACCATCAGTAGACCAAGAACAGTCCATGAACAAACTAAGAAAAGACCATGAACCGACCACACTTGACCAAGAATAGATCATGATTATTTTGTTGATTTTTTGGAAAGCTTCATATCTGTCCCAAACAATGGAGAAATATCTCATTTGTAAAAGAGAAAAACAAAAACGTGTTAAAAATGAAAAAAAAAAAAAGAAAAACCATCAATAGACCAAGAACAGACCATTAACCGACCAACCAGACCAAGAACAGACCAAAAACAGACTAAGAACAAAGCATGACCAAACAAGACAAATCGATATTTAATAATTTTTTTTCACTCTTATAAATTTTAGATCATTTATTTATGACATTGATGTATATCACAGATCTTGAATTGAATATTTATTAATTTTTACAACATTAGTTAATTATGTCTATCACAACACAACATAACTTTGTTTTATACACGATGTCTTACATAATATATAGAATTATATTTTTACTTCTTACGTATAACATTTAATTAAATACTTTTTATAAATTTATTATATTGTTTCATCAATATATTGATAAAGTCATGTCTTAATACCAAAAAATCAAAAATATGTTAAAATGTATTATTTTTTAAGTTTTATTAAGGTATGTTCTTGGTCTCTTTTTGATATGTTCTTGGTCTGGTTGGTATGTTCTTAGTCTTTTCTTAGTCTGTTCTTAGTATGTTGGGTCTGTTCTTGGTTTGTTCTTGGTATGTTGGGTATGTTATTGGTTTGGTTGGTCGGTTAATGGTATGTTCTTAGTCTATTGATAGTTTTTTTTTCAATTTTAACATTTTTTTTTCTCTTTTACCAATGGGATATTTCTCCATTATTTAGGACTGGTATGAAGCTTTCTAAAAAATTAACAAAATAATCATGGCCTATTTTTGGTCAAATGTGGTCGGTTCGTGGTCTTTTCTTGGTCTGTTCATGGTTCATTCTTGATCTATTGATGGTTTTTTTTTCATTTTTTAACACGTTTTTTTTTCTCTTTTATAAATGGGATATTTCTCCATTGTTTTAGATTGGTATGAAGCTTTCTAAAAAATCAAAAAAATCATCATGGTCTATTCTTGGTCAAGAGTGGTCGGTTCTTAGTCTGTTCTTGGTCTATTGATGGTTTTTTTTTATTTTTTAACATGCTTCTTTTTCTCTTTTATAAATGAGATATTTCTCCATTGTTTCAAAAAACCAACAAAATCATCATAGTCTATTCTTGGTCAAGAGTGGTCGGTTCTTAGTATGGTCTTGGTTTCTTCTTAGTCTCTTCTTGGTCTATTGATGGTTTTTTTTTTCATTTTTTAACATGTTTTTTTTTCTCTTTTATAAATGAGATATTTCTCCATTGTTTTGAACTGGTATGAAGCTTTTCAAAAAATTAAAAAAAATCATCATGGTCTATTCTTAGTCAAGAGTGGTCTGTTCTTGGTCTTTTGTTGTCTATTCTTGTTCTAATCTTTGTTTGGTTGTTCTGTTATTGGTCTGTTCTTGGTATGGTCATTCTGTTCTTGGTCTGGTCATTCTGTTAGTGGTCTGGTCTTATTTTATATCATGTTAAATTATACATTTTTATAAATTGATGGTTTTTTTGGATTTTTTTATTTTTTAGTAACGCTTTTTTTTTTTCTCTTTTAATGGTCTGTTCTTACACTTATGTGTTCTGTTATAAAAATTTGGGTAGCATTTCCCATAATTATAAGCTTCCTCAAAGCCAAAATAACTTTGTTGAATACATTTTACAACCAAGAACAGATCAAGAAAAGACTATGGGCGCGTTTGGAACTCGTTCCAAAATGATTTTATTTTTTGTATGAAAATGAAAACATTTTCAATCTCAGACATAAATCATTTTTAAAAATGTGTTTGGTAGTTTTATCAAGAGATTATTTTCAGTATTTAAAACCCATTAATGTCTCTATCTCTTTTTCTCTACTCGAAAGAGGAGAAAATGAAAATAAAAATTGAAAAACGATTAAAAGTCATTTTTTATTTCTCTCTTATTTTACACTAAACTAAAAAATTGTTTTCATTTTCATTTTTTATCTTTATTGTGCCAAACGCCGTTTTAGAAACGTTTTCATTTTTTTCTCGAAAAACGTGAAGAACAAAAACATGATCAATTCTAAACATGGCCCATATAATAAGAACAGACCAAGAACATACCATATAATAAGAACATACCAAGAACATACCATATAATAAGAATAGACCAAGAACAAACTATATAATAAGAACAGACCAAGAACAAACCATATAATAAGAACAGACCAAGAACAAACTTTTTTTTCTAAATCCAGCAGATCTTCTTTATGAGACAATGTAAACCCGTCTTTTACCATGTAAAATTACTATTTTAATGGTTTTTTTAATATTTTTAACTACATTCTCATCTTAAAAACATATGAACAACAACAAAAAACACTATGAGAGATATAGAAAAAGAAAGACTTATTTAGTAGCTCTTCTTTAAATTTCGTTTTGGACGAGAAAAAAGCGCGGAATAGGCAAGATAATATTGTTAATGAGGTTGTGCGACGACAAGGACTTGAGAAGAGGAGAGAAGAAATGGGAGGCAGCTGGGAGAAGAAAATGGCGCAAAATGGAAGGCAGTTGGGAGAAGAAAATGACGCGAAATGGAAGAGGAGTAAGAGAAAGAAACCCCTAAAAGCATACTTGATGACGTGGAATGTAGAAGTTGACCTATTTACTAAATTTATTTTTTTTTGTGATTTATTTACTTAAAAATACTTTTTATTTAGGCCCGTTCATTTTACCAATTCGAGTTTAGAATTCGAGTTTTGCTATAGTAAAAAGCTCTCAGAAACAGTCACATCTAAAATTTTTACTACAGTAAAAAATTCTCACATAAAGTCACATTTCAATTTAAATTAAAAATTTGAATCAGCGAAACTAAATAAGCCCTTAATCTATTTATCCAATGGACCCTCTCTCTCTCGAGCTTGCTGTAAGGGCTAACTTCACTCTGATGCCCTATGGTCTATGCAATGCTACGGTGGACTGCTCCATAACTGTTTCTCATTAAAAAAATAAAGGGAGAAAGAGAGAAATAGGCCAAGACTTTAGATGAATTAAAATTAATAGGCCAATAGTTTACATAAGTTAATAAATAGGCCAAATTACTGTTTACGTCCATAACTTGTCTGGTTATGAACCATAACTTGACAAGTTATTGTCCATAATTCACGATTTTTGCCCATAACTTGTCTGGCTATGAACCATAACTTGACAAGTTTGTCCATAACTTATCTGGTTATGAACCATAACTTGACAAGTTATGGCCTATTAATTTCTATAACTAAAAGTCGACCTATATACTTCCTTAAGCTTTTTATATTGGTCTATTTTCTACTATTTCTCAAAAATAAATAAATGGATGGGCCGGGCCTTTTGTTTCCGAGGAATTTTCATTAGCAAAATTTTGAAATATATGCCACAATAGTAAAATTTTATATCATTTTTTTGTCATTATTTACTATATCATTATATAGAATAAAATATAATATTATTATAATAATTATTATGTCATTATTACTATATTTATAATATTTTTTAAAAAAATTTATTAAATTTCAACTCAAACTATGAAATTTTATTATGTAGTGTAATTACTTCAATTTTTTCTTCTTCTTTTAACAAATTTAGGAGAAGGAAGCTGGAATATACAAAATTTTGAATATACTTTAAGAAAATTACATAATAAGAATTTTAATTAATTAATGTTAATACTATAAAATCATTTAGTAATTATTTTATAAGAAAATTTTACAATCGACCCTTAAAATTTAATGTGAAACCAATATTGCCCCCCGTCATTTTTTTTTTTTTTTTGAAGACTTAAATTTTTTTTAAGTTAATCAATTTTAATACAGGGATAATTATGATTAAAGGGGTCAATAATACAAAAATATTACTTTTCAATAATATTAAGTTTTACTGTTTGTTAGAATATTCTAAATTTTTTTAATATATTACAATAGGACTTGTAAAATTTTGTTGTGTGTCTAAAAAAAAAACGTTTTCTTTAATGAATTTTGCCTCAAATAAAACAAGTAAAATAAAATTTAGAAATGCTAAATGCACTTGTGACATAATTGGACGCTTCAGCTACGGAAAGAGAACAAAATTCTCAACTAAAATGGTGAAAAACGTTGCTGCTACTATAGTTAAAAAGAAAAACGATAAGGAAAAAAATAGATGTATATTCATTATTCTGCAAATCTGATTAAAATAGACAAAAAGAAACGGCAATATATTCATTACCTAAGAGGAAACATATTCCAAACTGTAATGCTGCTATTATTTCTAAAATCTTTTCCAAAAATAAATCGAACCATTAAAAAAAGAGGTAAACAAATCTTCCTTTGAAAATAGAAAAGGTAAATGAAAACTGTAGCATTTTCATGAAAGATTTCATCATTGCTCAAGACAAAGCTTCATCCATAACTGAACATACAACACAACACTCATCACATTTCATATTTTTAAAATCAAACTGCCCCAGAAAATGTTGAAGGTGAAAGACGAAATCACGCTCTCAAAATGATGCATATAGAAGATAAAGAAAATTGTTTCAATTCTTTAGTTCACTAAGAAATTCACCACTAAGTACAATGAATTTTCTTTTGATTGCTTTCATTGTCATGCTCATCAGAAGAAAAAAAGGATCTCAATTGTGCTGAAACTTTTACAAAAGAAACCCTTTTCATCTGGAATTCATTCGCTTGGAACTGAACAACTGAGATTAGGAAAACAATACAGAAATATCTGTAAGTTTTCAAACAGATCAGATTATTGCCACATAATCAAAGACAGAGTTGCGAAAATGCATATTTTATAGACCAGAACAAAACCATAAGAAGGAAAATCAGCGGTAGAGGCTCTCGGATCTGAGGTTCTCTGCAATCTCAGTTTCCCAACGGTCTCCATTCTCAAGAAGCTTTTCTTTGTCATACAAAAGCTCCTGCAAGGAGGGAAAAAGATGTTCACCATCGGGTCAGTTATCGCCTACTAGTTTAGATGATCAAATTGGTCGTTCACAAATAAGGTAAAAGTGATGTTAATTAACCTCATGAGTCTCAGTTGCAAATTCGAAGTTTGGTCCTTCAACAATGGCGTCAACGGGGCATGCCTCTTGACAGAAGCCACAGTAGATGCACTTTGTCATGTCAATGTCATACCTGAAAATTAACGAATGTTATATGTGTGTGTGTGTGTGTGTGTGTGTGTGTGTGTTGTATGTACATACGTATGTATGTATGCATGAGTGCGTGCATGATGTAGGTAGAGAGAGAGAGAGAGAGAGAGAGAGAGAGAGGAAAATGGTCAAAGAAAGGAGAGATGAAAATCTTCTTCACCTAGTAGTCCTACGGCTACCATCTTCTCGTTCCTCAGCCTCAATTGTGATTGCTTGTGCCGGACATATCTGATGAACATCAGTGGTTTTGTGAGATACAGACACCGAGCACGAACAAAAAATCATTTTAGTTCACACTCCCAGGAAAATTAAATAGGTTAATGGAAAATATGGGATAAAGACCAAAGATAAAGATGAGTCAAGAAGGAAGTACGGGAAATATATATGAATCTGAGGAGTGGCCAAAAATGAGCAGGTTTTAGGCTAAAGAAGCAATATTTTACAGTAAACCTTCCTACTAGCATAAATGCCAGAACTGTCAGAACCTTGATAGTAATAAAACCAATAAATGTGACGTTAGTTAATGAAGATGTTTGTTAGTATGGATTAGACAAGAAAATTTTAAGATCATGAGAAGGTGTGGGGGAACAAGTCTTCTTCTAGATGTAGAGGGACAAATCTTATTCCGAAAGTAGAAAAAGAAAAGGATAAACCGTTGGTTTTCTTTTAAGAATGTTACTCATGTATGTACATGAAATGTTTCCATCATCGCCAAAACAGAAGCTTATCCATAGCTGATTATACAATACAGTACTTGTACATTTCCCATGTTTAAAATCTAACTGCCTCACAAAATGTTGGAAATGGAAAATGAATTCACTCTCTCAAAATAATAATAATAATATACTTAAGATGAATATAAGATTTTCTAGTATCTTCCTACTACCATATTCATAGACATCAGAACTGCTAAGAGCCTTGACAGGAAGAACTGTAAATGTGACGTTGGTTCATTTCTAATGTTCTTACTACGCATTAGAGATGAAAATATTATGACCATGAGAAGAAGAGAACATATAATAAGAGTGATCATAAATTGTTTTAGTGGTCACTTCATCTGTGACTCCTGTTAAATGAATAAACAATGCTTTTGTGTCCCGATTTAGTGAGCACACGTCCAAAGTGACGGACAGCGGCGAGTATAGTCATTGTTACCATGAGTTTATGCACTTCTTATTAACTGATATGCATTCTCTAGCATTACCAACTTATTAACTGAAGTGAAGTTCAATAAAATATGACAGAAATAGTGGAAACTCGAACCAAGTTTCTCAAGTACTCAATGGACGGGATCATTTTTTCAATCTCTAAAAAACAAAAAACTATATTAACATTCCACCGGTACAGTTATCTCTGAAGATTTAGCAGGAATAAAGTTATGTCATCATTTACTTCAATTGTACTATAGAGTTAAAAAAAATAGTAGCATGGTTCTTCTTACAGCTTCGCAGAGTTTGCATGCAATGCAACGCTCCTCTCCAGTTGGATATCGCCGTAGGGCATGCTCACCACGAAAACGAGGGCTCAAAGGGCCCTTCTCAAAAGGATAATTGATCTGCATATTAAAAAGCAGCTTTAATATTATAATTTCCGACAGTATAAACTGGATAATGATCTAGAAAAATACTTACCGTAACTTTTTTCTCAAAGAAGTACTTGAGAGTCAGACTCATACCCCGGTAAGAGTGTATTTATGCTTCGCTCAAACACTGTAATTATTCAGAAAGTATCAGAACAAATTGACAAACATAAAGCAAGCCGGTTTGAGATGGAAATGCAGAGGATACAAAGAATTACCAGAACTCCAATCCCTTGAAATCTCCTTTGCAAGCTGCTCTCTTTCTTCATCCTCTGCATATGGAGTGAACAAAAACGATACATACATCATCAAGTGTAAAACGCTTAAAGACAACAAGACAAGATTAACAATCTCTACGGTGCCATTTGGTTCATATGTCTTGAACAGAAATTCAAACGTTTGTGAGAGAAGACACTACCAAAAAGGTTTGAATTGTGGTTCGAACCTATGAACTAAAACACCACCTACATATTTCTCTCTGACTTGTCATTTCCGCGACTCCTAAATAGTCTTGGTCTCCCTTTTCTAGACCTTCCTATACCGTCCTATCTCTTTTCCCTCTCCTAATTATGCATCTAAACTCTAATACAACCAGCAATCATGTTTGATATTTCTTTCTGAATTATCTGTTGCACAAGTCACATGACTACCTCCAAGACATGCTTAGTCAAAACAAAAAAAAACAAAAAAACAAAAAACAAAACAAAACAAAAAACCAACCTTGTTTGGTGGAATAAGAGTGTGCACCCAATTGCAATCCATAATGGTGCGAGCCTTGCAACGTTTGTGTTGGAACAGCCTAATAAGCCAAAAACGACGCTTGTAAGAACATTATATAAAATCTCTCTCTCTCTCTCTCTCTCTCTCTCTCTCTCTCTCTCTCTCTCTCTCTCTCTCTCTCTCTCTCTCTCTCTCTCT